ATATTGATTTTTTCCTAACCCAGCCTTGCTTTGCAGAAAAAAGGGGTATTGAGTCTTTGAGCTCCTTACATATCACTATTGTACATGCATCCTTAAAGGTGAAGGAGCCCCTTTCAGGAGATACTATCTGACTGACAATGTGATTGGGATTGTCTGAGGACTTTTCATTCCAAGTATAGGAGGCCACATGTATCAATCTGGAAAAAGAAACGGGGGAGACTCACATTCAGTTGTCTTTTAAATGTTTCTCAAAGAGTCCTAGTTTTGCTTTAAGCAACAGCTCTCAGATAAAATATGTAACTGTATAAAAACCTATCTTTGTCGGGATTTTATAATTTGGGTAATTTATTTTCTGAATGTATGGTTTTTATCCAAACAGAGTTACATATCAGAGTTCTTTAGGATGGGCTCTTTTTTTAGCATTCTGGTTTCTGGTGGAGGTATTTGCAAATTATAATTTCATAAAATGCCATCCAACTACTTAGGTTTCAGCTCTTTCCATTAGGCTATGTAATGAAAAGGATGCTCTGGTGGCTTAGTGGTAAGAAATTGTTCTGCAAACCTTAAGGTATGCAGTTCAAATCCACCAGCCACTGTGCAATTTAAAGCCTTTGAAAATCCACTGTAGCATCTAAATAGTACACAACAATAACAATAATATAAAAGAAATAATTTAAAGAAGATGGTAAGCTGTTAAAAACTGCTTCACTCTTCCTTCTAATCAGGCTAGTAGAATAATCGAGAATGTTATAGAATTATGGAAGCAGGATTGGCATCCATTTGCTAAACAAAATGCCTCTGGAAACTCTGTGAACTTTGAGAAATGATAGTTATAGAAAGGTTTCAGGTCTTTTGTTCATATGGTTGCTATGAGTTGTGCTTACGTCGACGGCAATCAACAACAGAAACAACAATAGAATTATGGACCTTATTTGATGGCTGCTACTCTGTCTTAGTGCCCAGACAAGATCTGCATCAGTAGGAATCTCATTTAATCTGCCCCACTATATTTGAGTCTAGTGTCATTATGATTATGTCAGAGGAGCATTTTGGTGCAAGAACAGCCTAGTACCATTGAAGAAATTGTGAAAGCAGCTCTGGAATGGTGCAGCATACAATTTTCATGTTGAAATTTAAAAAGAAACTCAAGTCAACACAACCTCCTTTCATTCCCACACATTGCCCCCAATAGGTCAAGTAAGTTGAACATCTATGTCTTAACAGCCAAGGACACACAGAGTCTACTCTTTCTGGATTAATCTCAGAAAGGAAGAGAAAAGAAAACCTGTATTACCATTTCCATTCTTCAGATCAGAAAAATGGTCCTTCAAACCAAATGTATGTCAGCTTCCTCCTATATTTTGTCACTATCTCTTGAGTGATTGTGAGAATCATCTCTTAGCTCACCACTATGATGCTGTAATGAAAACTAATGCAAATAAATTTACCTCCATTATTCCATTGCCAGTAGAAAATGAGACTTTCTAATTTTCTTCTGTAACACTTAGTTTATCATTATTCCAAAGGTCTTAAATAAATTTCTGAGCTATTTCCATAGCCATCCTTCCTTATTTCACAGATTTAATACATCTTTAAATGCTGCACAGAATTTCCACAATCAGTATGTCTGACTCTTTATGTAGAATTATTTTTACGCTCTTGTGGATAGTTTAATAGCAATTTCAAGAAAAGAAAAGTTCATGGCAGAATTCTCAACTTTCGTGCAAGAAATCCAGGTTCTATTTTTGATCAATGTAGCCATAGCCCATATGTCAGTTAAAACTTGCATTTTGCTGTGATGTGAAGAGAATTCAACAGAACTGCCAAAGGTGGTCTAGGAATAAATGCTTGACAATACTTCTCCCCAGAAGAGGTCTGTGAAACCCCATGTACCACCATGGCTCAATCTACAAGCAATCATATGGATGGCACCTGCCAACTCAATGGCAGTGAAGTTGAAAAATTAACTGAAGCACTTTCAGATCAACTCAATAATACCTAACAACAACAAACAAAAAATATACACACACACCACACACACACACACACACACACACTTATGTATAAGCATATATATGTTTAATCCAATAACAAAGGAATAACAAAAATCAGTAATTGTAGTGAGAGTGGTGACATCATGTGAAGTATGTAACCAATGTCACTGAACTATTAGACAGAAATTGTTACTTGATCTATGCTTGATAATGTGTATTATTGCTAGGGGAAAAAAGATCTATTAAATGAAATTTAAGAGAGGAAGATTAAAAAAACCCAAAAACAAAAACAATAAAACCCTTAAAGTTCAGGTAAAGGAAAAAAAGCTGAAGTTGTGAATCAATTTATCAAATTAAAGAAATGATGATCTAAGACAGCCTCTACTTGGGTTATGGACACAAGAGTTACCCTACATATAAAATAGAGACAAGAAATCCAGATCCAAAAAATTTATAAAAGATAAAAGGGACAATCTACAGGAAGAACTGTGCCTCATGCATAGCAAGAACTCAGTAAATGTTACATATCAGTGTTACTATTAAATCAAGTCATTGATACCCTTTTTAAAAGATTTAATTTTTATTATATATTGGTTTGCTTATGAAGTTAGTATATATTGTGTGTCACACTATCCTACATTCATATTGTGTTTTATGCAATCATTCCCCTTAATTATGATTTATAAAGTTAATCACCATTTAACTATACCCACCATTACTCTATCTTTCCAGATCCCCACCTCATCCTTACCGTTTTATTTTCCCCTTCCTCCATCCATCCAGCAAATTGTGTGTCACTATGATTTCCCCCCCTGCTTCCACTATACCCACACCTTGGATCCTCATACATGTTTTACTAGTTGTTTATATCTACAATAATGGTCTTATGCAATATTTACCCTTTTGAGACTGAATTAGTTCACTCAGCATAATGTACTCCAGTTCCTCCCAAATTAAACAGTAATATTTGAAATCATTGCTCCTGAGTTCTGTGTTGTATTCCATCATGTAAATGTACCACAATTTCTCAATCCATTTGAATGTGGTTGGACACTTGGGCTGTTTCAATGTTCTTACAATGGTGAATAATGTTGTTATGAAGATTGATGTACAGATTTCTGTCTGTGTCTCAGTTTTAATTTACTCGGTATATTTCTAGCAGTGGAATAGCTGGTTATATGGAATTTCTATGTTCAGTTTTTTGAGGAAATTACAAACTGACTTTTAGAGTGGTTGTACCATTTTACAATTCCACCAACAACGTATGAAAGTTCAGATCTCTCTACATCCTCTCCAACATATATTGCTTGCTGTCATGTTAAACTTTGCCATTGTTACTGGGCTGAGATGGTATCTTATTGTGATTTTGATTTGCATCTCTCTTAGTGCCAGTGATTTCTTTATGTGCCTGTTGGCCATCCAAATGCCTTGCTCTGTGAAAAGTCTTTCATATCTTTTGCCCGTTTTGCAATTAAGTTATCAATCTTTTACTTTTGGAGGCCCTGTGGGATTCTATAAATATATGTTATAAGATACTTGTCTAAGACAATTTTGGAAGCCTTTGTCTAATTGTCATCAGGCTAAAGAAGATGAAATTAAAAACTCATCAACTTAGTCCCTTAGACAAAACAAACTCAATTATTTGTACCAATTCCTTGACTCAATAAAACCCCTTCTATTGCAGCCCATTGTTGTCCCGTTATCATAAGGCATGATTGCCCAAGTTCTAAAGGTACTAGACTTTTTCTTGGGATTTTCTTCTGCTGGTAGTTCAGACACACCTAATTCTTCAAGTAGATTCATCAGTAACAGCACAACTCCCAGTGAACTATACCAACAGAGCTCCACCAGTGATGTGGTGATACTAAAACAGAATCTTTCAAAAGTGGGCCAAACAACATACCTCCGGAAACTATGGACTTTGATAAATGTCGATAGTTGTAAAGGGGCATCACGAATTTTGTTCATAGGGTCGCTATGAGTCGTGCTCAACCCAAAGGCAATAAACAACAACAACAGGCACTATGGACAAAGAAGGGAAACATTTGTGGTAAATGCATATGGGAAGTACTACCAAGGATATCTCAGTTTCAATCGCCATGTCTGTTAGTCCAAATGATAATCTAAGTGTGCTCTATTATACATAGGGTTTTGGAAGGCCTGTAATTTCAGAAGTGGATGGCCAATCCTTCTTCCTAGTCTGTCTCAATTTTTAAATATATATAATAGTATCTGATAGAAAAGCATTCTACAGAAAAGAGTAGATGAAAGACATTTACCAGTTAGAAAGACCAATATTCAATATTGCTGCCCACCTGGCTATATGTTTGGTTGATTTTGGGGTTGGAGGGGGGTTTGTTTGTGTTTTGTGTTTGTTTTTAAAATCCACCCTTTCCCTACTCGACCACTAATCCTTCCTACTTTTGCTTACAACATTCAACACCTGTCTCCCATTTACCAGCCCCTGATGTGATGTCCTAAGTCTCAAGCAATCAAGATTTCTCTGATTCTGACCATATCATGCTGTTATAATGCAGTCAGTATGAGGTCAATTTAAAGTTCATAAGTACAATTGTCATGTACAGCTTCTTTTCCTGGAAGATCCTGAGAAAAAGTCCTCTTAAACTTCCATTACAGGATTGACTTCTTGTGGGTTAATACTACTTGTCTTCCGTTTGCAGCCTGGTGCTGATGCAAGTGGATGGCTTCCCAGGAGAGAGAATGTGTCCTCCAGGACCAGTGTACAATTTTTGTTTCTTGGCCCAAGGGCCACAGACCCAAGGAACCAAAACTAATTCTCTGGCAAATGGCATCCTCGGGGACCCCTCTCTCGTCTTTCCGTGGGGTACTATGACACAGTGACTGCAACACTAGACTTGAGCATGTAGGAGATCATGAAGATGGTGCAAGACAGGATAAGGCTCTTATCTGTTGTTCACAGGGTGAGTGGCACCTGAATGGTGTCTCTCAAACATTTCATTCTCTATGACTCATGGCTCTTCTTACTCCAACTTGAAGATGACATCTGGTTTGGTGATCTGACAGCCTACTGTAACTAGGTTGCTATAGTTCTCCAACATCACATGGCGGTACAAGTTTCTCTGAGCAAGTTTCATTTGCTGCCACTCTTCCAGAGTGAAGTCCACAGCCATGGTACTAGAGATATTATAGCTAATGTAAGATGGATCTTGGCAGAAAGCAGAGAATACCAGAAGAATGTCTATCTGTGCTTCATTGACTATGCAAAAGCTTTTGACTGTGTGGATCACAA